CTGTTTAATCTTTTTTTTTTTTTTTAGACAATGAAGAGAAAAAACAAGTGATATAAACGAAAAAGAAGAGTTGTACTGCTTTCTCTACAAAATTCCATACAGGATAAAACAAATTGTAATGTCGTTTCTACTATTATTACAATTATTATAAATCCATACATACGTAACAAATTGTACGTGGCTTACATTTTTCAATCGGTGTCAATGTAATAAAGTCGGCACAAGAATATCATCTTCCATGTCACAATACTCCGGATATGACGATTGCTCGTATTGAAATATTACTGACAGAGGTTCCTTAGAATAATTTTTCAGAACAAACAGCATAGTATTTATAATCTCCGACGGACTCTTGTAAAAGTATTTGTGTTCCTTGTCTGCGTCTACATGCATGTTGCAAGCTTCCTCGATGAAGTCGCCGTTAGATCTGAAGAACAATATTCTAGGAACATACTTTCCATCTGGTTGGAATTTCTTTTCCTCTATGTCTGCGTCGCGTCCCATCTCCGCTTTTATCATCACAAACCTGTGAATCAGTAACGAAATTATCAATTCCAATTTCATAAAATTAATTACAAATCTCAATGTCACAAAATATTGATATTGATAGTAAGCATTATTTATGAAATGAAATTTATATTTATGGATATAAATAATATTTATTTAATTATTTATATTATTAATGTAATTAAATATACAAATATATTCAAATAAATATTATTACATTTATAAATATTATATTTATAAATAATTATATAGGTATATAAAAATAATAAATTATATATATTATTACCAATATATAAATATATAAATATTTAATTACATAATTACACAATTTATATAATTTATTATAATTTATAATAATATATTATAAATTAATATATTATAAAATTATATACTATACAACTAATTTACATATTATAAAAATTATTCTCACATGTAAACTTTATATTAATTACAAAATTAACGATCAACAAAAAGCTTTGAAAGTCAGTTTGAAAAATAAAATGGCGCCACTGTAGCGCCAACTGTTGGTGATAAATGCAATTTTGATTTATCTCAGGTATAACAATATTAATGCACGTTTCGAATTCATTACACACCGATCGCTAAGATCCATCAGTCGCACAGACTTGAAGAACTTCTGTTTTAATTTTTGGCAAGAGGGACATTGTGCTTTATAGATCAGTAGAAATATCGGTTTATTCACGGCCCTCGCCTCCTGAAAGCCATACGCAAAGGATTTCCATTTGAACAATTGTTCAAAACTAATTGCGCTGTTCGAACCTTCGGTATTAATTAGATTATTTCCAACAATCTGATTTGCCAAAGCGATTATGTTCAAAGCACCAAGAAATTTGATACACTTGTTCATGACTGAAAATTTTCTTTAGTTTTGTGCATTACGCAATTGATCCTGAATATCTTCAATTGTAGGATTTCGATATATCATTATGTAGTCGGCTATGTACAGCCCGATATATCGATTCAATACAGAATAAAACACAAACAAATTAATTAATATAGTGCTTCTTAAGCATAATCATTGTCTAAAGATAGAATAGATTTGACATGAAATAGAACTTCGTATTCTCAGGGTCCGAAATACCAACCAGGGAAAAAAAATCACTGATTTTTTAGTGCACTCTATACTTAAGCACAGACGAGGTATATGAATACAATGGTTTAGTTAGTTAATGGTTTTATTAATACTGCGTAAAACAGACGCAAGTTCAAATTAAGAAGTTTAAAAATCACGACACGGCGGCGCCACTGCGGCGTACTTGAAATTTAGCGCCATGCGACAAGCAAGTTGCACTCTTTGACTTGTTCTATTCCCTAATGTGTATTTATATATCTTTTTCTAAAAAAAATATGGATCGTCGACCTACCATCTCATACTTCTAACGCTCTTTATCGAATATTTTCTCTCTTGTTTTTCGAATCAATGTTCACTGTTTGTCGTGACAATAATGTGATAATGCTGAGAATCAAGGTTACATCGGGAAATAGGTTAGAATTGTGCTGGAGTTATTTTTCAAACATCTCGAGCAAATAATCGGATCATAAAAGAAAAATGAGCAAACTATGGAATTATCTGATATTTCAAGGATGGATGTCGTATTTGATGGCGGCCGGTTTACTGGTTTTCACAAGCGGATTCCTGCTGAACCGCGTCACCAGGCCGGAACGCGCCGAATGTAAATATTGCACGGATTCTGACTGTAACATCGAGCAACTTCTTCAGAATCCCGATGCTGCCGCGACCACATGCCTCAGAAGAAAGTCGCGCGTTGTGTTGTTGGTCGTGGACGCTTTGAAATACGATTTCGCACGCTGGCACAATGATAATAGTTCTACCTCATCTTATCATCGCAACAAGCTGCCAATAATTCACGAATTGCTGCAGAATCAACCCATGAATTCGCGCTTGTACAAGTTCATAGCTGATCCGCCGACAACAACTATGCAACGATTGAAGGGTATCACCACAGGGTCGTTGCCAACCTTCATTGACGTTGGATCTAACTTTGCTGCTGAAAGTATCGATGAAGATAATATTGTTGATCAGAACACTGCCAAAGGTATAGTTTTCATGGGCGATGACACTTGGACTAACTTATTCCCGGGTAAATTTAAACGTCAGTTTCCGTCGCCGTCTTTCAATGTCTGGGATCTGGACAGTGTAGATAAAGATGTTAGATACCGTATATTTTTTGAGATGAAGAAGAAAGACTGGTCTCTCCTTATAGCCCATGTTCTTGGAATTGATCATTGTGGACATAAACATGGGGCTAATCATCCTGAAATGGCCAGAAAGTTAAATGACACAAATACTCTTATAAAAGAGATCATTGAATCTTTGGAAGAAGATATAGTACTTTTTGTCATTGGTGATCATGGAATGACAGAGAGTGGTGATCATGGTGGTGACAGCAAGAATGAAATCGAAGCTGCCATATTTGTTTATTCTATGGTTCCTCTCGTAAAATACAACTCACCTAGCAATACCATGAATCAGATTGATCTTGTTCCAACATTGGCATCGATTCTTGGGACACCTATACCATTTTCAAATTTGGGATCTGTTAGGCTTGACTTAATTCCAAGTTCAGCAAGAAATGGAAAATTAGAAGATGATTTATGGTATTTGTTATATTCAGTATGGAGAAATGTTGCACAAACAAAAAAATATTTAAATATATATTCTGCTGATACTTACTTGTTTTCCAAAGAACAGCTTCAGAACTTGGAAAATATTTATAATTATTTATTTGACCAAACTAAGAGTATTACTACTATTGAAGAATTTGAATCTTTCATTGCAAATAGTCAGAATTACTTTAAATTGCTCAAAGATGCATGTTCCGAAGTTTGGGTTCAATTTGATTCTAGTCTAATGTCAAAAGGTTTACTTTTGATGTTTTGTGCTTTGTTTTTCTTTTATCTATTTATCACAGGCATTCCAGAAAGTCGTATGTCTAAGATATTCCAATCGTCGTTTTTACAATTTTCTGTTTTAGCAAATTTAATTACTGCATTGACAATGTGTATTTTGTTTTTCTTTGATATTTTAGAAGAATTCAAAAACACTACATTGTTTACCACTGGTGCAGTGTCTATAGTATTATTAGTAGTATTAATTGCTAAAAATTGGGATGTAATCTCATTAAGTTGGTACGATTGTAGAAAAATAAAAAAATTGATCTATATTACAAGAGTAATACTTCTTTTAACAATATGCAGTCTTTTTTCTAATAGCTATATTGTTGAAGAAGATCGTACATTATCTTTTTTAATTATTACACTTTTTTGGCTTCTTATGTTTAATCTTAGAAGAAAAGATACTAATGAAAGTCTAGAAAGAAAAACAAAGCTATTTTTAAAACAACAGACAAAATCGAACTTGAAGATAATTATAATAATCATTGGCTTGATAGCATGCATTTCCATAAGATTATCCTATTACTTCTGGCATTGTAGAGAAGAACACCAACAACGTGTATGCTCTATGTTTGTAATTAACAAAACAAGTTCCATAACATCGGACAACCTAGAACGTATTTTACTTGCCATTACTTTGATTATACTTGCATTGTATATTACAATAATAAGACTGTGGTTACAAAATTGTGGAAACCTTTCTGGTTTCTCTCCTAGTGTTTTAGTAGGCCAATATTGTCCTGTTGTGATAGGCGTTTGTATGGGTTGTTATTGGGTCCTTCAAAGGTTACCAAAATTTGTGAAAGTAAAATTTGCATTATCTTGGCAAGTAAACACATTGCCTAATATAGTATATGCATTGAGTCTGTTTGCAATCCTTATACTGTACTATCGTCCGCTCAGTATATTTCTATTACCAAAGAAAAAAGAATCAATTAATATATACCAAGATGAAAATGTAGTACCTCGATTATTTGAGAAAATAAAAGAGTCAATTTATCAGAAAAATGTAGATGTAGATCAAACACCAATTGTTTATGGCTTGGGTACTGCATATAGTGCCGCATTTGTCTCATTAAGTGTATTTCTTGTGTTATTATACTCTTTATTGTTAGGGGATATATTATCATCTAGTACTTTCTTAATGTTTATATGTTGTGCCTCTGTTTTGGGCTTATTGGCAATAGAAAGATGCAAACATGCTAATAATATATGTAAGTACTCTAATTCACAGATAATGTTTAACTGGTTTACAATACTGCATTTTTAATATTACAATTTTACAAACAGCTGAACTTGTAGAAGTACCTACTCCTATATTGTTGTGTTGGTTCTTAATAGCAGAATATTTCTTTTATGGAACCGGACATCAACCAACTTTTCCTACTATTCATTGGGATGCAGCTTTTGTGGGAACAGGTGGACATTTCTATGGGAATTTATTACCAGCAATCTTAATAGGTATATATAAGTAATTTCATTTGTACTAATTTGAAATCATCTTCTACAAATCATAATTTCTAGGAATAAACACATTTGGATCACACATTATATTAGGTGCAACATTGCCATTATTAGTTATTGTACCATTTACTTTTTACCTTGTATTTCCAAAGTTAGCTAAAGTAAAGTTTTCGGAAGACGACATGAAAAGAGGAGAATTGCTTTTATTTGAACAAGATTCTGTATTTCATGCTGCAATATTCTCAGTTGCAGGAAAATATATATTACTTCATGGAATCAGAGTAAGCAAGACTTTTATTATTAACGAGTATAAACTGAATGATTATTGATTATGATTATTGGTAATAATTTGTAATTTAAATATTGTCTTTATTGAGTTTTTATATCTTCATATACATTATAGACATTCGGCAGTATGCTTGCTGCGACGATTCACTGTCGACATTTAATGATTTGGAAGATCTTCGCCCCGAAATTAATATTTGAAGGCTTGGGATTATTAGTAACGTTAAGTAGCGTACTAGCGTCATTTTATATGGTATTCAGAATTGATCAGCAAATGGAACATCTTATATCCAGAGTGACAAAAAGCAGATGATAAACTTTTTCACGACGTAAAATGTAATCAATGCAGTAAAGTATCAAAATTTAAAATATAATATTAAATGAAGAATGTGTGCAATGACGTTACTTCTGACTTTAGAAACGAAAATTTCTATTAAAAAAAAAGAAAAAAATAAAGTTACTGCACCAGTACTGCCATTTTCATAATTTTATATGATTTTATATAAGAAATAAAATCAAAGCAGAAAATTAAAGTAAAGCATTTAGCACACAAGAATAAGATATCCTTTCCTTCGTTTCTTCAAAGACCAAGCTAATTCTGGAGCTTCCTAACACACTAACGCTATCCTGCGTGCAATGCATTGCTGATTACAGAAAAACAAAGCAACGCACTTGATGCAGGATTGCGTCCATGTGCGCTAATGATTGCTTGATCAATGTATGTACTAGTTTTACCGTTTTAAGTTAGTCATTGTTAGCGTATGTTTTTCATTTTATTTGTTGCATTTGAAATTGTAAATATAGCTCTATTATAAATATAATAGTAAATTTAATAAAAATATATATATCTTTAAGGTGAGATTACTTGTGTAATTTAAAATAATGGAATTTTTTGAACTCTTGTCTTTCCCGGTTTATAGTTTTATGTTCACTATATATTTTGCAAAATATGCTTTATTGAAAAGTATTAATCGTACACGTTATATATAATATTCAAAAAAAAAAAAAAATTATCAATTGGAAGATAGAGAATTTGTAATTACAAGTGATAGAAATATTCCTGCTGAGTCAGTAGTCTAATGATGATTGTGATGCTTGTGTTCCCTATTGTCATTTCTCAGATATTCCATCCAGTTGGCCCATTTATAATAATCTTCATAATCATTGGTATCCTGTGACAAACGAACATGTTTACAATATTCAAAATGCGTAAATTACACATACCTAGTTTTGGTAATTATTATTTTGAAAGACAGGCACCTGCATATTAGATAATACAGGCATTTGTATCTGGAAACAAATGAAGTTATCACGTTGCATAAGATCTCTTCTCATGATCATTTGTTTTGCAATGATACAAATTGTCGACTATCATAATTATTTTCCACTATGTACAGTATGCAATACATAGATTTGAAATATTTTAAGGACATTTAGTACGGAACTCATTTTAACTTAAATACTTACAAGTAACTTTATCCCACCGCCTTCATGTCCAGGTGTAGATCCTCCGCCTGCCTGTACAGATTCTATGGAACCAGCTGGCAAACTCTGATATCCTTGGTGCATTTGCATCTTAACCGAACGTGCTTGTTTTTGATTAAGATTACTTTGTTCGTTTGCAAAAATATCAACATCACCATCAGTTTCTCTTTTCATATTTGTTACATCTTCAGGATAAGAGACAAAAAATGAAGCAGGATTTTTTGGCAGTGATCGAGCCACTTGTAATCCAAATTTATTATAACTTGGATTGTATGAAGGAGGTACTCCATAATCTAATGTATCTAATTTATGTTTAATAGCATCCAGTAGACTCATGTTAATCGGCAAACCACCAGTAGAAGAGAGAATATCATTAGCTAATGGATAATTGGCATTAAATGCTCCTCCAGGAGAATTTGTAGATGCTATTTTCGCGTTTATTATGTCTTGAACCGCTAAAGTAATATTTTTTTGTAAATCAGTTAACATGTCAAATACTTGACTTAAAACAGCTATCTTTTGCTGAAACGGAAATATTCCATCAGCAGTTGGTTTTGCCCATGGAGTAGGACCAAAAGGTTTAAATGGTTTCTTTGGTGATAGCGTAGACTTTTCATAAGAAATCAAATCGTTCATTGTTGTTACCATGTTACTTTTTAAGTCACCTAATTCTGATAATATGCTACTAACAATTGAATCTTTAGCGGAATTGATCGATGAAAAGTCATCAACGGATCGTGCTATTTTTATTTCTGTATTGCTTCCATCAGATACTATAGGTCTCACCAAATCGTTTTTAAGATTGACGCTATCACTAGTCATTGTAGTTTTATTCAATTTTAAAGTGTCAAATAACTTGTCCAGGAATTCAGATACTTTATCATTGTATTCCGTTGGATTAGGGATTACTGATGATGGCAACCAAAAATTAGGTGGTACAATGGTACTTTTTGCTGTTGGAGTTTCAGTAGAACTTGGTGATGGAGTAGAAGTAGCAATATTTTTAAATAGAGTATCCAAAAAAGTAGTTTTTTTTGCTATAAACATGGATGGATCCACTATAGGTCCCACAGGTCCAAAAGGTCCAAAAGGTGCATATGGTCCAAACATTCCTGGTAAATATTGTTTTGGTGCTTTTGAACCTTCTACTTTTTTGAGTAATATATTCACATCTTCTTCTGGTTCCTCAGAAATTGGTGCAAGAGTGGGATAAGGAGGTGGAGGTCCTAAATCTTTTGTTTCTGGCTTAGCAGTATCCATAATTGATCGAAGTTCTGCCACAGCAGATTCATCTACACTTCTTTTTTTTCTGGAAAATTCATCTTTCGTGCTATAATCAGGTATGACATTTAGGCTTGAAAATGGAGACATGGGTCCAAATTTAGGACTCATAGGACCAAAAGGTTTGGAACCAAAAGGTCCAAAAATTCCACGTTTATATAGGCTAGCTCCATCATCCACATTATTTTTACTTAGTAAAGACGTTCCATCAGTAGTACTGTACAAAGTTGACCCACTTGCTACAAATGGTATAAATGGTTTGAAGTCCGTAGGATAAGCCGGTCCCAAGCCGCCAAATAAATTGCTCAGCATATCTGTCTTCTTTGAAATCATCATTTTAGGATCGACGAATTTTGGGAAGAAGGATGACTTTGGCATGTAAGGTACTGTAATGGTGTCCATTCCTGATACTGGTGGTCCAAGAGTTCTTGTATAAACTAGAAGGAGGTTTTTCATACTATTCATAATATAAAGTATTTTATACATGTAATGTTACATATTGCATATGCTTTGTACTTGTAAAATTTTAGTTTAATAAAAAGTTTTAACTTTAAGATTATTTTATTAAAATTATTTTTTAAAATATTAAATAACTTATATTACCAGGTTTTGAAGTAAAACTTGCCCATGGTACTCCTGAAGGACTTTTGAAAGATGCACAAGATAAAACTAACAAATAAGAGAAAAATACTAGACCTTTTGACAGAATCATTTTGCACCAACTTATCCAACTGCATGCTGTTACTGCTTTTATAGCAACGGCCAAATAATACTTGCAAAGCTTTTAAGATCATTAGCATAGAACTAATATTCTTATTGAAATAATCCATGGCATACAGAAGGTGCACTTGTGTCTATAATTAGCTAATATAATTTCTTCGTGCTACTTAAGAAAATAATTTCCTTCTTACTTGTGCCATCATATTTAATATAAATATTCTAACTGTTGAATATTATCTTTTACAACAAATAATTTTAAATTTATTATTAAAAATATATCTGAATTTTCATTTATATTTATTCATTTTTATGTATTATTTTAATCTAATTAGTTTTTTTATTTTTTATCTATAAATGTTATACATATTTTTCATTTATTGAATGTCGAAAGGCTTTCCCGCTTTAAATTATAATCCGATTTCAATCGTCTTGCAAACGAACTTGTGAGAAATGCGTTGTTCATTTGTCAACAATAATATATTAAAGCAACTGTTTTCATTATTTGGTAATTACCAATTAATTGTATTGATATTGAAGAAAGCTGTCACTTTACAGAAATACATTTATCTCGAAATGGAAATAAAAAGCTCTTCTGATAGTAAGTAATAATATTATTTAAAATTATTTCAAATAGTAATTATTCTTTCAAATAATAATAAACATACTCTGTATATAATCCCATGATAGAAATAATATAAAATAAATCAAAACTAAAAATTGTTAATTTTTTATTTCAGCAATTGCGGAAAATAGAAATGTAATGATGAATATTACTTCCATGTTTGAAAATTTTCCATGGACTGTTTTACAGCAAAGTTCAAAAGGCATGAACATTATCAAAGCAATAAATCAACTATTAAGTATGTACCATCCTGATGATGGCATTATTGCATATGAACGTGTATTAAGAGCTTTATTTATTTTATCTGAAAATTTGGATAGTGATATACAACAACAGATAATTTCTATGGTACCATTACCAAAAGGTGTATCAAATGACAAAATAAAAAATCTTATATATAAGATTGCTGAATTGATTAAAGCAACTAATAGCAAGTCTTTATACCAAAAGTATGATTTCTGATTAAACTAGTTTTCTTTTTATTTTTATAACATTTAATAACAAGCTTATTTTATAGAGTTGTCATGACACCTGAAGTACCTCAAATGAAAACGTTGAATGAGAACTCAGAACTTCATCTAAACCATAATAATTTGATTGATACACCTCAAAATCTTGAATTACATGAAAAGTTTGTGTCTTCAGTACCTGAAGTATTCAAAGGTTTTCCTCCTAATGAAATTTCAACAATACATAGTCATATGAATTATATGTATAATACATTGAACTATAATATTCCTTATATGAAACCTCATGTTAATAGCAAACAAAACCTTTCATTAAATAGTAATGAACAAGAAGAATTGTTAAAACTTCAATCAAATTTAAAATGGTTCCATACTCCTCATCTTTTGTATAATAATAATTTTTATCAAAACTCTACTTCCGATTATCAAGATTTTTCTGAATCAATCGATGATAAATACTTTCAGTTATCCATCAATAGATTCAATAACTGGAATCAATGTAATGTAACTAATTTGCCTCAAGCACTACATGAGGTTTGTAAAAGTTATTTTATTAAAAATATTGTTAATAATAGTGCTAATTTAGCGATCTTTGAATAAAAACTGTAAAAGCAATTTTACAGGATACTGCATGCTTAAAAAAATTATATAAGAATGATGTACTTTTTAACAAACAAAATAAAAATGAGATTTTAAATTTGAAAGTAACATATGATAATAGATTTGTAAAAAAAGAAACGGATTATGAAGGTTTATATAATAATAATGTAAATAAAAATTCTAAAAAATATAGTAATTTGAATAAAAATAAAATTTTTAATACGGAAGAACAAAAACATTTTAAACAAGAATTGAAACACGAACAGGCAATTCAACAAGACATATATAAAATGGATGTTGTACATTGTGAAGAAAAAAAAAAAGATACAATAATAGACATACAGGTAAAGAAAATTTATATTTATAATAATTGTGAAAATAATCTGTGATCATTTTTGTAAATGATCATATTACAGACATTAGAAGAAGATAACTTTTTAATGGATAATTTCATGGTGCGTAAGAAGCTTAAAACAAGCTTACAAAATTTTTTGAAACGTATAGAACAAGAGACTTTAATCAGTAATAAAACTTTTTATATTCATTAATCATTAACATTTCAATTCAACATGTAAAAATATTACAAACATTCCTTCTTCTTATAGAGTTCCCAACATTACCTCGGACGAAGCCTTTGTACATGGTTTTTCCAACATCCAAATGTTGCAAGATTGTAAATCAAAGAAACCTGGAAAAGAATAATCAATTAAATATTTCGAGTAATAACATAAATAGTTCTAAAAACACTATTACACTAGAGGATATAGAATTTACTGAAAAAAATCCTCAGCAGCGCTTCATACATATCCAAAACCAACTCGGTTAGAAATGCTTCATAAAAACTTAAATGCTATAGTTAGTAAAACACAAATAATAGAATATGAGAAAAAGGACTACATAGAAAATTTACTATACAAGTACCATTAAAGTTGTCGTGTAAATATTTAATGTCTTTCACGATCAACAAACTTGTTTAACAAAATTATTTGTACACAGATCTGCAGTGAAGCAAACAAAACAAAAAAGTTTAAATACTTTACAACAAACTGCATCTATTATAGAGTTGGTTACATTTAAAAAACAATACTATGATACTTTATTCAATATTCAGAAAGCTAAGAGTTTGTTATAATTGTTATAATCTACTTACATTTTTGTAAGCATATGAGATTATACGTATGTATATATTTATTGTTTCCTAGTGGCAGTGGCAAATTCCTTGGCAATATCATTTACAGAAAATTTCACCAAATATGATCCATATTATTCTAATCATTCCTATCAACAGGGACAATTATTGCAACATGAACCATTAATTGTGACTCCACAATTCACAGAGCATACTGCGACACAATCAAGATTGTCAAATATATATAACATTCCATATACTTGGATGAGATACAAGAATTGGAAACATTCAACCATAAAACAATTGAGACTTTCACAACAGGTAATTAAATATTGAGTACTATATATTCAAATATTTCTAATTGTTTATTTAATTGCTATATTTGTTTTATTTTCTTTTAGTTTCCATTTCAAGTTCCAAATAATAAAGAGTAAGTTTTTTTATATCCTTCCTACTACAAAATATTTTTTCTTCTGTTTTTTCTTGTATACTTTTTTTTGCATTAGATGCTATTTTTATTTTTTCATTCTTATGTTAAAAGGAATTCTGTGCTGCATTGTGTAAAAACAATGGATATTAAATGTTTCACTCAAGATAAAAGTAAACAAATGAAGCAGAGCGTACAACGTAAAAAGTTAGAAGATATAGTTGGAAAATTAAAAGAAATAGAAAACAGTAACATGAATAATTAAAGGAACTATTATTCTGTAAGGTCAGTATTATCTATTAAATAAAATAAACTCTTTACATACTTATTGAAATAAATAATTATAGAAACAAATCAATGCAAAATAATTATGCAAAGAGATTTCATAAAGTTATATGTATTAAAGGAAAGTTCCTTGAACTATATGAGTAATATAATAAAATATTAGTGGAGACTGTTAAATGAATATCAAAGAATACATATCGAATAAAATTTTTCATTCTTTCATTTATCTTGCACCAGTTTCAACAATTAATGGAACATTGACACGTTTATAAGTGTACATGTATTTCTACATATATGTATATTTACATACATGCATATAAATATACATATGCTATAATCTCTTGGCACTGGCAAAAGATAATAATTGAGTGTTAGATTATTAATCGCCGCGGATTATTTAATAATTTCGTTTGTATTCAGACGATTGCGTGACATTTTCTTTGTTTAATTGCGTATTTATATCTTGTTGTCATCAATCGAATTTACTTTGATACTTAACATAGTAACATAGTACATGTACATGTATTCTTCAGAATTAACATAAAACAAAGTTACTATTAATTACTAACATTTCATAGTATATTTTATAATTAACATATAACATACGACTTTTGTATAGTCTGTACTATACAATAATCATGTCATTATTTCTAAATGTACAAAATAATTTTCAAAAAAATAAACGGTAATAGTAACTTAGGTCTTATATGGATCATTAGTCATTATTGTCCAGAACAATCGTTATGAAGTATGACAAATTACCAACAAGTTAATATGTAATGTAATAACTTTTGGTAATTTATTCAACCACATGTGTCAACTCACAATAATTTTTCCCTCGTTTCAGAAAACCTTCACAATCTATATAATCTACAATAGAAACACTATATATCCGTATTTATTGTTAATTATATTAACAATATTATCTTAATAAAAATGTATTTTCATATAAATAATGCTTTCAATATGCTTGATATTAATAATGATGAATCGAAATACGTCCAAAGAATCTACAGCAATTGATTTTTTTGGGTGGACTTTTACATTTTCTTTTTGACATTATCCAATGAACTAAAGTTAGACCAAAAAACTCTTGTCATGTAGTTCATGTATCTGTTTTAGATTGTCATTATTTAATGTTATAATTATTAAAAACAAAATAAATATATATAAGCAGATCTTATTACAAAATTATTTCATTTCAAATATTATTCAAACGTAATGCAACTTAATAAATCTATTTTAATTCTATGTATTAAATTATATTCTTTAAATATTCAGTTAACACTACCATTTTATAAATAAATAGAGTATATCAAATTGAAAATATATTTTAATTTTACAATGTTTAAAAAAGATAATAATGTATATTAGCAATGTATAAAGATAATACAAAAATGAAACTTTAATAGAAACTATTGTATATTGTATAAGTAATAAACTAAATTAAATCATAAATGCAAAAAGGAGAACAGTAGTAACTTTCTAGCTCTATTCAGTTTTTTGTGCGTACAGTATGTGCTATTTTCATCATAATTCAATTATATAGCAATAAAAATAACAGAAATCTTAAATCAAATAATTGTTATGCTACTTTTTAATGCAGATACCTCTCTGTATTTCAAATTACTTTCAATCAATCTCTGTCAAATTAAAAATTACTCATATAAATACTTAAAAGAAAAATAATGTACATTATGATACGAAAAATAAGATAATAATTTGTGGTATCAAGATCACAAGGAAGAATAAATAGTAAAAAAAACTTTTAGTCAATTTATACGAATTTTAATAATTGGTTCCATAATTAATGAAAGAAATATTTTCCAATCAATGTCATTTATAAAATGTAAAAGAAATGTATGTTTATCAGGGAATTAATAATCTCGTTACAATGGTGAAATAGATTTTCAGTTAAACAGTAATATTTAGTTACTTCTTTACTTCGTAGAATAAATTGTAATTGGATTAAAATTCAAACCTAATTTCAAACTTTGTTATTTGTGCTATGATCTGAAGCGTTTTCGTTCGTACAGAAATATATTAAACAGTGTTGTAGATTCACATACTAAATACAAGTTTAACAATTCATTTATTATGAGGTATTGCAGATCGTAGCGAGGTAAAGCCTCTGGATACTAAGTTATTGAAAAATAACAAAGTTAATCGACATACATGACACTCAAAGAGCGTTATATTTCTTCTGGCAGTGTCCGTACTTTTTTTTCTTTTTTTTTTTTTTTTTTTTT